TAAGTTAACTGCATCGTATTTACATTTAATAAACTCACATAATCTGACGGGTAAGTTAACTGCATCGTAATTACATTTAAGACACTCATAGAAAGTGACGGGAAAGTTACCTGCGTCATATTTACATTTAAAACACTCATAGAAAGTGACAGGTAAGTTAACTGCATCATATTTACATTTAAACACTCATAGAAAATTAAAGGTAAGTTAACTGCATCGTATTTACATTGAAAACACTCATAGAAAATTACAGGTAATTTATCTGCATCGTATTTACATTTAATAAACTCATAGAAAATGACAGGTAAGTTAACTGCATCGTATTTACATTTAATAAACTCACATAATCTGACGGGTAAGTTAACTGCATCGTATTTACATTTAATAAACTAATAGGAAGTGACAGGTAAGTTAACTGCATCGTATTTACATTGAAAACACTCATAGAAAATTACAGGTAAGTTAACTGCATCGTATTTACATTTAATAAACTCACATAATCTGACGGGTAAGTTAACTGCATCGTAATTACATTTAAGACACTCATAGAAAGTGACGGGTAAGTTAACTGCGTCATATTTACATTTAAAACACTCATAGAAAGTGACAGGTAAGTTAACTGCATCATATTTACATTTAAACACTCATAGAAAATTAAAGGTAAGTTAACTGCATCGTATTTACATTTAATAAACTCATAGAAAATGACAGGTAAGTTAACTGCATCGTATTTACATTTAAAACACTCATAGAAAATTACAGGTAAGTTAACTGCATTGTATTTACATTTAAAACACTCATAGAAAATTACAGATAAGTTAACTGCATCGTATTTACATTTAATAAACTCACATAATCTGACGGGTAAGTTAACTGCATCGTATTTACATTTAATAAACTAATAGAAAGTGACAGGTAAGTTAACTGCATCGTATTTACATTGAAAACACTCATAGAAAATTACAGGTAATTTAACTGCATCGTATTTACATTTAATAAACTCATAGAAAATGACAGGTAAGTTAACTGCATCGTATTTACATTTAATAAACTCACATGATCTGACGGGTAAGTTAACTGCATCGTATTTACATTTAATAAACTCATAGAAAATGACAGGTAAGTTAACTGCATCGTATTTACATTTAATAAACTCACATAATCTGACGGGTAAGTTAACTGCATCGTATTTACATTTAATAAACT